TTTTGTTCTTTGCACGTGTAAGGTGTCTTTTCTTTTCTTTTTTTTTGTAAATCATTTTATTGGGGGCTCAAACAACTCTTTTCAAAATCCATACGTACATCAATTGTGTAAAGCACATTTGTACATTCGTTACCCTCATCATTCTCAAAGCATTTGTCTTCCACTTAAGCCCCTGGCATCAGCTCCTCATTTTCCCCCCTCCCTGGCTGCTCCCCCCTCCCTCATGAACCCTTGATAAATTACAAATTATTATCTTGTCATATCTTACACTGTCTGACATCTCCCTTCACCCACTTTTCTGTTGTCCGTCCCCCAGGGAGGAGGTTATATATAGATCCCTGTAATCGGTTTCCCCTTTCTACCCCATCCTCCCTCCACTCTCTGGGTATCACCACTCTCAGCACTGGTCCTGAAGGGATCATCCACCCTGGATTCCCTGTGTTTCCAGTTCCTATCTGTACCAGTGTACATCCTCTGGTCTAGCCAGACTTGCAAGGTAGAATTGGGATCATGATAGTGGGGGAGGGGAAGCATTTAGGAACTAGAGGAGAGTTGTATGTTCCATCTTTGCTACCCTGCACCCTGACTGGCTCGTCTCTTCCCTGATCATCCTAGTTTCTTTTTTTTTTTTTTTTTAAACATTTTATTAGGGGCTCATACAACTGTTATCCCAATCCATACACACATCAATTGTGTAAAGCGCATTTGTACATTGTTTCTCAAAACATTTTCTCTCCATTTAAACCCCCGTAAGGTGTCTTTTCCTCTTTTCCCAAGCTCGGCTGTTTTCTGTTTAAGCCCCTGTGCTCCTTTGAGATGATGCGGTGTTGGCTTGTGTAATGGGAGCCGCCCCACCCTGTGCTCTTCAAAGCCGAGGCCTCCTTGGGGGTTCCTCTTACTTAGAGACACCACCAGACCCCACTAAAAATAGCTTCCTTTAAGTAGGCCATCGATGGCAGACAGGCCCCGGGCTTCTCTCAGACCCAGCTGAAAGCAGGATACTGTTTCAGGGACGGCCCAGTCGGCCTGGCTCCTGATCACAAGGCCTCTGGGAGCCCGTTCAGCTGCTGGGGGTGATAAGGGAGCCTTAGATCACCACAAAAGCCAGAAACGCCAGGCAGGAGGAGAATGGGTGCCGCAGACACGGGGCTGGCCCCCCAGGACCCACTTCTCTCCCCGCAGGGAGGGCGGGCACCTGGGCTCCACCCACATCTCACTGGGACCCGTACAGCAGATTCCAAGGTTCAAGGCGGCTTTCTCACGGTCAGACCGCCCTTTCTCAGCAGGCCTGGCTGGGATCTGGTCCCCAGAAAGCTGCGTGGTCAGGCCTGGTGTCTGCAGGGGGCCGGGAGATGCAGTGGTCAGAGGGCAGGGCAGTGGGGTGTGAGGTGGCTAGGTAGAGAGGTGGGTAGGAGCCACAGAGCACCACAGGGTGGGAGTGTCCCCAGAAACAAGACAGTGAGAAATCCCCCATGGGATCAGGCCCTGAGCCCCTCCCCACAGGAGGTGGCTCCGTGGCTATAATGGTCCAGTGCTTCCCATGAGTCTTGGCCCTCGGCTTCCTGAGGGGCACAGGCTGGATAGTGGCTGGAGGGGGGCGGGGGGGGGTGGGGGGGGGGGGGGGGGCGGAGGGCGGGAGGACACCCTCTTCAGGAGGGCTCCTTGACTTTTCACATTTCTCAGGGAAGTGCTTTCAGAACCACATTTAATGAGCCAGGTGTGTACAGAACCGACTGTAGCGCCTCCCTCTGCGCACACCAGCCCTCCTCCCTTCCCCTGCTTCTCCTCGGCCTCTCGGGGCCTTCTCAACCGGACCCAGAACTAGCCTCCCACAGCCTGCCTTCTCTCCCGCCAAGCCCGGGACAGGAGGCTTCTACTCCTCCTTCAGAACCCAGCACACAAGTCACCGCCTCCCAGGCCCTCCCGACTCCTTCCTCCAAGGGAAGTCTACCCCCCCTCTTTTTGCAGAGCACTCGATCCAGGCTTCTGTTCCAATTCTTGGCAGGACACACTGTCGTTTATCTTTTTATGCATGTATAATTTATTCTTGTCGTTGTTGAATATGCATAGCAGAACGTACAACAATTGGACCGTTTCTACATGGACAATTCCGTGACATGGATGACATTCTTCAAGCTGTTTTAGATACGCATACATAAAGTCTGTGTGCGCGCGCGCACTCGCTGTTAGGTTGTGTGAAACGAGCCCAGGTGCCACAAAAGCATGGGTTGTGGTTTCCATGTTACTCTCCCCTTTCGTAGCCACTCAGACCAGTGTTTAGATCTGATGGGGAAGGAAACTGCGAGACTTTCAAGGTTGTGGTGTGTGTGTGTGTGTGTGTGTGTGTAGTACAACACACAACCATGCCAAACACTGGTGCACAGGCCATCCTAGCAGAACAGTAAGCCCCCACATATGTAGACCTTGTTTTCTCCACACCTCCGCCCCACTCTCCTCGTTTCCACCCCAGGCCCGCCCTTCTTCTTCTTTCAAAGCCTGCTTCTTTTGTTTTATAAACCATTTTTTTAGATTCCCCCCACCCTTTATACTGTATCATGAAGCACTTATCTTTGTGAGATGCGCTAACTTTGCTGAACATAACATCTTCCAAATCCATCCGTGTGATAAGGTGTTTGACAGTCTTCCTGTGCTTTAAGGACGCATGATATGCCTTTGTGTGTGTGGACCAGTTGGTTACCCAGCCCTCCACAGACGGCTTTGTGGTTGCTTCTGTCTTTCTGCTTCTGTGGGAAGGGCTGCAGTACACGTGTGCGCATGTCTGTGTATTTATTCATTTCTTTGGTGTGTATGCCGAGTTGGAGAGACTGCAAGGCCATATGCTTTCTCTGTTCCTATTTGTTTAAGGAAGTTCCACCCTGTTGTCCGTAGTGGCTGCACTGTTCTGCTCTCCCGCCGGCAGTCTGTGATTATCCCAATCTCTCTGCGTCCTCGTCAGCATTATTACTCTGTTTTCTATGGATCTTTGAATTAGCACTTTATCTGATATATCAGATAAATGTTTTTCCCACTCAGTGGACTCTCTTTTTGCTCTTTTGAGAAGCATTAATGTCGTATTTTTAGGAGGTCCTAGCCCTCTTTCTTTGTCTTCTGTAGTGGGTGTTTTTCACTCTGTTTGCTAGTGTATTTGTGTCTAGCAGGAAGGCCCTTAGGTTGGTCCCTATTTTTACGTTGGTGATCATTTCAGTTCTGGGGTCTATACTTAGATCTTTAGTTCATCTTGAGTTCATTTTAGTATCTGACGTGATGCATGGGTCCTGTTTCGTTCTTCTGCAAATGGAGATACAGTCTCTCCAGCACCATTTGGTTAAAAAAAAAAAAAAAGAACTCTCTCTTCCCCATTTAATGTGTCTTAGCCCCTTATCATCAATGAGGTGTCTGGGTGCTCAGTTGTACTTCGGAGTTCTCTGTTCTGATCCATTAGTCTACAGAGCGTGTCTGGTAACAGGCTATTAGATGATTATTAGACAGATGGTTTCCGAAGATACTCTTCCAGTTGATGATATGTCTTTTCTTCTTTTCTTGGTAAAGTTCTGATGAGCAAAAGCTTACTTTTTGAGGTTTTCATTGTTGTTTGTTATTTGCTGTGTGTGTGTGAGTGTGTGTGTGTGTGTTGTGGTTTTAGTTGCACATGTTGGCCTTTAATCCATTTTGAATTTGCCTTTAGGTTTGGCATGAGGCCTGGGCCCTGTTTGATTTTCCCTCGTGTAGAAATCGCACTTGTCCCCGCACCGGTCACTGAAGAGCCTCTTCTTCCCCTGGCTGATGTACTAGCCACTCTGGTCAACAGTCAGCCGACTGTAAATGTGCTGGTCACTCCTGGGCTCTCCACTCTAGTCCACTGGCCCATGTGTCCGTTGTTGTGACAGGCTGTTTGATTACGTAGTCTGTTTGTAAATCAAGAAATGTAAGTCCTTTGTTCCCTTTCCACACTGCTGTAGCTATTCGGCGCCTCTTGCCAGTCCATGTAAAACGAGAGACTTGTTCTCCCGTGTCTTCGAAGGCTGTTGGGGTTTTTATCAGAGTCGCCTTGAATCTATTGGTTGCTTTGGGTAGTATTATCGTCTTAGCGACCCATGAACCCGGGACAGCTTTCCATTCATCGAAGACTCCTTGAACACGTTTCACCAGAGTTTTATAACTTTTATTGTGTAAATCCTAACCCCTCTCTGGTTAAATTCATTCCTAGGTTTTTGTTTTCTTAGATGCTATTATAAGTGGATTGCCTCTCTAATTCCCCTTGCAGATTTCTCGTGCCTGCTGTGCAGACCCAATAGTTTGGTTTGTTGACTGCACACCCTACAGCTTTGCTCATATTTCTCCACTAGTTCAGGAGGCTCTTTTGTGGAATCTTTGGGATTTTTCTGCACATAAGATCATGTCTATTATATAGGAACATGTCATTTTGCTGTTCCTTTTCCAATGTGGGTACCTTTTCCTTTTTCTGGCCTTACTGCTTTGGCTAGACACCCTAATAAATATTAAACAGAAGAAAAGAGTGGACACTGTTAACTGTTCCTGCTCGCAAGAACATAGCTCTCAACCCTTCTCCATTAGTATCGTGCTGCCTGTTGGTTTTCACTTTTACCCCAAACCATATTGAGGCATTCCCCTTTCAGTCTCTTCGCCTCAAGCGTTTTCATCAAGAGGGTTTGTGTGTGTGTGTGTGTGTGTGTGTGTTCATCCATAAAGATGATCATCTGTTTCCTCTGTCCCATTGTCTGTTACGTCGGTTGATTCTTCCAATGTTGAACCATCCCTTCGCTCCTGGAATAAGTCCCACGGAGTTGTTCTGTTCGTGGCTGTCTCCCCTGTGACGCGGGAAGCCTCTCCTCCCACTGTGGGCAGAGGCATCCCCCTCCCGCACATGCTGAAGTCGGGTTGCTCCACCAGGCTCTGGTCACATAGCGGCATCCTGTTCATCACCTGCCCCAGCCTGCCTTGTTGCTGACTAACGCGCTCTCTCCCTCTCCCCTCCCTAGGGCTGACGAAATTGAAATGATCATGACGGACCTTGACAGAGCAAATCAGGTAGGGTTTTCAATGGCTTGCAGCATGGAACTACGAGAGTGTGCCCGTTTCTGTCACTGGGCGATGGTTCTGAATCTGAACACCAATTACTCTTGATATAGGATGTATAGCTTGTCAGCATTGGCTTTTTCTCTGATGTCACAGAAAGTTTAAAAACTACTGGGAAAAGTCCCTGCCAGTTTTCCCCCCTCAGCAATGCCTGGTCTCACCTTCCGAGACAGCCCTTGGTGGAATAGCCAGCCCAGAGGTGGCTCCTCCTCCTTTCCCTTATCCAGCTCCTCAGTGTCCATCTGTCCCCCTGGCGTCCATTAGGCAACAGAGAGTTGTGCAGCAGAGTTCTTTACCATCTCCTTCTGATAGAAAGCGGTTCCTTGGATTGAAGCCAGGTGATGTGAGACGGCTCCCCAGCAGACAGCCCCATTCCTGGGCTCCACACATATTCACCAGAAAGGTCCTGTGGAAGGTCCCTGGCACAGTGCCCCGCACAAAGTATGTCCCCATTATCTGGTGGCTCTAAGGCCTCGGCTGCCTGGAAGAGTCAGCACCTGAAGGACCTTTGCCTGCCCCAAGGACAGCCCATGACTGATGTGAAGTACTGCTGCTCCCCAAGGGATCGCTTCCCCTGCCGATTCTCCCCAAACAAGAACGGCAGCCGGAAGGCCACGGCCTGACCTCTTCCCCACGCCACTTTGCAGCTGGCTAGTCTCAGGCCAAGGCAGGTTAAGTGGTCTGCCTAGGTTACCCAGGCCAGCACGGCCCCAGTGAGATGAAATCCTCCTCCTCCTCCTCCTCCGCTCTCTGATCTCAGCTTGCCACTTGGCGCGTGTCCCATAGGGCACTTGCCACAGTGCTGGGCAGGGGTGGTCCCCAGACCTTGACAGAGACTGAAAGTCCTGTCCTTGCCCACTCCCCGGGCCACAGAACACTCTGGAGCCGGAGGGAACTAAAGCTGGTTTACATGTGAGAACGTGCCTGGAATGGCGGGTGTCCGAGTTCTTCAGGGAACCTTTGTGGGTGCAGCATTGGACACCTCTGATACTCAAGGCCCGGCACACACTGCATGTTTCGGAGAGACGTGTGGCCTGCGTTGCGTGAGCGAGTGTCATGATCGTGGCAGTCCTCCCTTCTGACTCACAATGAGCCTGGAGGACAGGGTAGAACTGCTGTGCACCTTTACGGGAGCAGACAGCCTCCTCTTTCTCCCCAGGAGCGGCTTGGTGGGTTAGAACTATTGACCTTGCCATTAGTAGCCCAATGCATCACCCACTACGCCCCCAGGGCACCTCCCTGGCAAATGTTCAATCCACCTGAGCCTTGAACAACAAGGTTTGAGCTATGTGGGTCCACTCCTAAGTAGCTCTTTCCTAAAGCGTGGCACCATCTCCAGGTGTACAGTTAGTTCATCAGCGGTAAACTGCGAGCGGCGGTCAAACGTGAACTCACACAGCTCTCAGGTATTTTGTATCATGTTTAGCTCGATACCATAAACCCTGAGGAACACCATGGGGACCCATAAGAAGGGCCACTAATGATGCTGGAAGTGCCCCCAAGAAGCAAAGTTAGGACATTACAAGAACAGGTTGAGTTGCTTGACGCGTCCTGAAGGTTGAGGTTTGCAGCTGCACCTGCCCTCCGTGTCAAGATAAATGAGCCCAGAGTGAGGCGCAGCCTACAGCACAGAAAAGGCTCTCCCGGGGCTGGGCTGCCTCGGTGGCTGCATTGAGCCGGTGCCAGCACTTGGCACCTTCTGCAGCCCGCCTCTTCATCTCCTGAAAAATGTAGCTTCCCTGTAGGTACAGTGTGCTGTGGGGGTGGGGGTTCGGAAGGTTCACGGGAAAATTCTCTTCCACAAACTCTGGGAAGCTCCCTAGTACATGACTCACCACCATTGAGTCAACACCAACTCAGAGTGGCCCTACAGGACAGGGTAGAACTGCCCCTGTGAGTTCCCGAGACTAACTCCGCCTGGGAGTAGAAAGCCCCATCTCTGTCCCAAAGAGCGGCTGGTGATTTCAAGCTTCTGGCCTTGAGGTTAGCAGCCTGATGCTTAACCACTGTGCTGCCAGGGCCCTTTGGACCATCATTTGTGAGGAGTCAGAGGTGATGTTTATCGCATCATTGGCAGGCCAGGCTGCACTCACGTTTCCCTAACCCACCCTGATGTGATGTCTAGGTCGGCTGCTTTTTGTGATGTCAACTGGTATTGGTGACATCACAGGCTTTCTTCCCGCCTGAGGGCTGGACGCGCTCCACTCCTGGTGTCAGGCGTCCACTCCCCCAGCGCTGTGCTGTCCAAGGGTCACCGTGGCTCAGCTGCAGGCACATCGCTGGGTTGCCTCACAGTGATGTTGGTGCTGCTATTAGTCCTGTTTTACAGATTGGGAAACTGAGGTCAACAGCTGGTCAAGAGCCCATGCTCTTCCCTGCCACGGTGTCAGAGGGCTCCCGTTGCCTGTCCCTCAACACCAGCTCGTCCACCTCGTCCCGCATGGCTGGGAAGCACGGCTTCACCTCACCCTTCTCCTTACACATCCATCTCCTTGGACGGGTGCCTTAACTCACCTTGGCAGAGCCCTCAGACCGAAAAATGAAGTTAGCCTTTGTCACACAATTGCCATGTGTATGTTGTTGCTCTCAACACCCAGAGGAGAACGACTTCGGAGGCTGTCCATCTTTACAGGAACAGACAGCCTCACCTTTCTCCCAAGGAGCAGCTGGTGGGTTCAGACTGCTGACCCTGTGGTCTGAGGCCCAATGCCTAACCCACTAAACCACCAAGGCCCCTAGAGGAAAGAGAGGAGGAAGTGGAATTGAGTATCTAAGAGGAAGACCAGGAAGGTGTCAGAACTTTGACCTTCAACTAGGAGAATTC